TGAAGTGGGGGCATGCTGCTTAGGAACTTGGAGCATTTGCTTTCCTTGGTCCCTTTCCGTGGTATTCCCAGAATTACTTTTATCACGCTCTTAACGTCCGTGTTCCTGCTCACCAGCATGGAATGATTTCCTTTAGCAGTCCAACACTGAGCTGGTGGGTGAGTTCAGCCACCTCCTCACATGTCTCCAGGGGGGCAGTCAGGTTGTACCTGGTGATCCTCTCAACTGCTGTTTCTTGCTGTAGGTCTGAGGTTGATGGAAGGGAGGTGGAGAACTCTTTGCCTCAGTCCTCACTAGAGTGCCCAGGAGAATGGCTAACCAGAGAGCCTGGGTGCACTTCCGGGGTTCTGGTGTTCTTTTGTGAGGAAAATCAGCCTTTTAGCAGTTAAAGAGTGTTTATCTTTTGAGCAAAATGGTAGTTACCGTAACAGTCCTTTTACGGCTCTTGCCTGCTCTTTTAACGAGACTGGAATTTACTACAGATACTGTTGCTTTTTTTCCAGGCAGCTTCCCAGGAAGCAGCAAGAGTCAGTCCATCTGTCTGCAATACCCAAGATAGCACTTGTTTTAACTCCATTTGGTTATTTATGCCTGGTTTTAAAGGCCTCAAGTTTCTTCTCTTCTACACCAGGACAGAAATGAAAGCTATTGATTAATCCTGTAGGCTCACTCTCCCTCTGCTCAAGCGTGTCCTTGTAGTGGGTTAAAACAAATCCATTGCAGCCTCTGCCTTTCTAACATGCTGGTGTGCTCAGTTCACAGGTTAGTTACCTACATCTTTGTCTACGAAGACCTGATATCCTTGACCTGTGGTGCCATTATTATCTGGTATTTTGCTGGCAGCTTTGAGAAGAACGTTGGCACTGTGAAGCACTGCTTCCTCACCATCGCGTTTGCCATCCTTTCCGCCCTCCTGTACCTCTTACTCGAGACCCTTGTCTCGAGGATATTGGAGGTGGAAGATGCCAAAGGATTCATGCCAGTAGCTTTTGCTACATTGGGTGTGTCCACCACCCGCTCGCGGATGAAGAGGACTCTGTTTTTTGGGGTTAGAGTTCCAGTGGTGCTGGTGCCATGGTTTATGCTCTGCATAGCATGGTTTATTCCCCACTCTTCTCTCTTGAGTAACCTGTGTGGGCTCCTGGCTGGGGAAGCCTGTATCCTTTCCAAGTGCAAAGTCCTGAGCCAGAGTGGCTCACGAGACGGGGGATATGCTGCGGTTCTTGTTGCCGAGATGCACTGGCTTTATGGTGTTTCCTGGGCTCTTGCTCTGCATTAAACTCTCACCAGCTTTGCTGGTTCTCATCACACCCAGTTCTGTGTTTGTTTTTCACCTCGCACTTCCACTTCCCCTGTGGCTTTAGCGCACGCAGAGAACATGGAGCTGAGAAGGGCGATGGTCTGTGAAGATGGCACTGAGTAGAACTGGGAGAATTCTCCAGGGAAAGTGGTTTGAGGCCAGAGGGGGACTGTGTGTGGCTGTGTTAGAAATTAGTGTGTTTTGTCTGCAGTCCTCCTTAACATGCTGCTGACTTCAGATGGTCTTGGCTACTGTTTCTGCTTGGATTTTCCAGAGTCAGTGGGCTCTAAGCTGGACCGGGTGTTCCCTTTCAGCCTGCTAAAGAAGATACCAGGGCTGAAATATATCCCAGGGTCCTTAGCGGAGAGAAGAGCTTCTGAAAGCAGCAAGTAAGTTCTGTGGAAGTTCTTATGATATAGGGGAATTTGGAGGCATAAGTGGAGGCATTAAATCACCTTTAAGAGCTGTATTGTGCTGCTTGTGTTCATGTCAGGGATGTTAAGGGGAACATACTGACCCATTGATGTTACACTAGTGACATTACTGTGCCTAATACATTATCCCAGGTCTTTTAGTGAAAGCTAAATTGAGGTGGAAGACGTCTCATTTGCTGCAAGGGCAGTGTGTACACATGTGAAGGTATTGCAGCTTGGCTGACATGAAAGCTATGTCATGCAGTTCTGCCCTGACATTAGGACTGACAGCATTTTTTCCAGCTGTATAGCTCCCTGGGGTGTGATCGTTATCTTTCTTTGCCTCACCTTGCCTCCCAGGAATGCTGTGAAGTGAGTTGTCTCCAAATCTGTGTAGGAACGGGGCTTAAAGATGTCATAAATGAGTTTCCATGTAGACCCTTCAATGCATGTTTCAGTGTCAAGGCAAGATTGCTTTACCAAAAAGAAACCTTGGGGCCTGTGGCTGATATTCAGGAATGGTTTTAAGTTTGTGTATATCAGAAACCATAAGAACTCACTTGTATTCTAAAAGCTTGAAATGTAGGTCAAATTTTTCCCTATTCTAAGATGTCATTTCAGTTTCACAGAGGAAGGTTGATTTTCTATTAAGGGTTAAATTCTATGTATTGTTTAAGCCATCAGCTCACTGTAAAGTGTTCTTTGAAGTGGAAGCATTCCCAAGTGTTTGCATCTGCCCTCGCCCATGGGGACACCATAAAACAAACCCTTGCCTGCAGCAGGAGTGTACCCCAGATCCATTAGGGCAATCAATCGTGTGAGTGCTTGCAGGGGAGGCCAGGCCACAGCATCTGTGTTTTTACTCTCTTCCTTCTGTGCAAGTCCTGCTTTTGGGAGGAGGGACCGTCTCGCTGCGTGCTGAGCCTGTGTCTGCATCAGTCTAATATGTCTGCTAATAACTGTTTTGCACAGCATCTCAGCTCTGAGTCTTAAACCTGCTTTCTTTAGGTGAGATGACATAAATAGACTGTTCTGGCTCAATGGTATTTACATAAACATTTGACTATCAAGCAGGGCGTGGGAAGGTGTTTCTAGGATCTTTCCATTTCTGCAGCTAAATTTGCATGTGTCTGTCTTACATACAAGTTCTGTATGTGCTTCTGGGGCTTAATTTTTATTATTTTGATTCTTATTCCCAAGTAAGAGCTCTTGATGGTTTGGGGTTTGTTGGGGTTTTTTTAATTTTCATAAGACTTCAGGCATCAACTTGCCACCAGACAGGAGACATTTCTATGAGGTCCAGGCTTTGACATCATGTTTTTGTCCATAGATCAAACAAAAACCAAACAAAAACCCAAAACCAAACCCATGCCCCACATAAAAATAAAATCCAAGCCCAAAAAACAGTCTCTTCCTCTCGCTGGGAATCTGGTGGTCACAGTCTCTGTGAATATTGTCTTGATTCTCAGCCCTCCTCTTCGTGTTGTGCGTGGGCTGAGCAGTACTCCTGAAGTCCCAGAGGCTTTGGCTTCTAGGCAGATTGCCTCTCTCTTGGTAGGTTTCAGCGGGATGAGTCATGCTTTCTGTTGGCAAAGGCTGTTTCTAGACCTGGCTTCTGAATGATTAATTTTATTTGTAAGTCTCTCCTCCTTCCTTTTTTGCTCTATACCCTGGGCTCTTACTTGCACCTAAGGCCTTTATGGCTTCTTGATAACACTTGGCAGCTGTGACTTCTCCTGATTAGTAACTTAACAGATGTGCCATTCAGTGGAAGGCAGGGAGGATCCATACAGAAATCTTAAAGCATGTTACAGTTTGGCTTGTATATTCCCTGCACAAAGAGACTCAGGGCCAAGAACCACGCTCATTCAGTGGGTGTGGAATTGGTGTGGGTTGGGAGTGGGAACATCTGTCCTGGGAGGCCAGTAAACCTATTTTTACTCAAGTGCTGCTTATAAGAGCTTCTCTTGTTGTAGTGAATCAATCTGATGGATTGCAGTGACCTTTCTGAGCGCTGGTCAGGAGGAAATCTACCCCCAGGGCACTTCCATTGCAGATCAGGCAATGCCAGTTCTGAACACAGTGTAACCTTCTGTTTTCTTCCTGCCCAGGATTAACCCTGCGCCAGGCGCCTACCCCACCCAAAGCTACTACTGCTCTTCGCCTCCAGCTCTTCCCGCTTGCCAGTTGCAGCACTCCACTGCTCAGAGCCAGGGGTTTCAACACAGCTATGCTCTGGGATGTGGCCATGCTCTGGGACATGAGGGATCTCGACACGGCCATGCTGCAGGACACAGCCTCCCTTCTTCCCCCTACCACATCAGAAGTGCCTTCGGAGAGAGTTACGTGCAGGCCCATGCTGGGGCCGCGCCTGGACAGTGCTGCCAGCTGGGCGAGTTCTCTCCACTGCAGCACGTGTGCCCGGCTGACCCCCAGACACCTGCAGGCGTGGGCCCCCTGGCTGGGGTTCAGCAAGCATCAGGGTATCCAGCAGCCACAGCGGCTCCAGTTTCAGCTGAATTTTCGAGGATTCAGGTGTACTGATCCTCCAGAAAGCAGCGGGACTCTCATACTGTGGCAGGACCACTGTGTGATGCTTGTGCAGCAGTGTGTTGCTGGCATCTTTGCTGGCTCTGGGGTGACACTAGGAGTGGGTTGGTAACTCCCATGCAGGCCGTTCCCTGGCATAGGCTACTTTAATTCTATTATTATATTTCCCTTATAACTTTTTTTTTTTTACTTTTTGATTTTGCTGGGGGACGGGGACTGTATCACCTCCGTGCACTTCTCATCCTTTTGGAGTCTTTTTAGTTTATAACTTAATATTTGACTGGAGGAGGACAGATGTCTGTTCTACTAATTAATTCTCCACTAAGAATGTGCCTTGAGGGGGGCTTATTAAACCAGGGCTGGCGCAAGAGGACAGTACAGAACACCTTTTTCTGCCCCTCAAAACACAGCTCTGAAATGCTGAAGATCCTTCCTAGCTACAGTCAGTGCATGCATAAACATGTTGCCCATTTTCTGATAGCACTGCACTAGCTCAGCCTGTGTTGCCAGCACTTGTGGAAAAGGCAACCTCAGATGCATGCAAGGTAGTGAAAGACTCTTTAGTAAGGGATTTTGGCCATTTGTGGAGCAAATGTATATAAATCCAAGGAGCTGGGAGGGACCTTAAGTGGGTTAGAAGAACTAACTGGAATGTAGTGATGCCATTGGGGGTGTTCACACTGCTCGGCTTTAGATGTCTCACCCACCAGTATTAGCACAATCTCTGTCTGTTTTCTTCAGAGCTGGTGGAAAGGTGTGTGGGAGGGGAGTTTTCATCAAGGGACTCAGAGCAGGATGCAGTGTTTGGTGCCTGTGGCTGTAACAAAGGAATTTGGTCAAGTTGGTGGGACTTGAGCTTTATTTCCAGCTGTGTAGCTGCTTTACTGTGCCATGCCCAGGAGGAATCTGCTGTCTCTGTCTGTAAATCAGCCAGGATCTCAACCATTGCCCTTGACTCTTTGCTTAGAGTTTTGTTGTGCTCCAAAAAAAAAAAAAAAAAAGTGCTACATGAAGCACAAAATGCCATTTCTGCTCTTGGAGGTGTTTTGCAGCACCTAACCTGTCCCCCAGAAACCGTGATAGCCTCGGGGCTCTTCTGTGTGATCAGCAAGCCGGGGTCATAGGCAGTGTTGGCAGCTGCATGCTCCAAAGCACGTCTGCACCTCTTTCTTTTTTCCCCTCTTCAGTGTCTGAAGAAGGCCTGTGTTGCTGTATGGCTGCTTACTTCTCCAGCAGCCCTTCTGGGATGGCTGCCATGGTTATGTGTGGCCTTGCAGGGCCTTGCTTTGGGGGGAGACCATCGTGAATGCTGAGGACTTGGGCCTCAGATGCACATCAATAAGAAGCTCTGCTTGCAAAGGTGAGCACCCCTGGGCAGGGGCTCTCTGCAGGAGGATGCAGCAATTTGGGAACCAGCCTGGAGTTGGTTGGATGTCTGGTGTTGGTACCCTGCTCCATCTCATCCTTGATTATTTCACTCCTCCATGGGATCAGAAATGGACTTGGCTTCATGGTCCTGTGTTTCCTGAACTGCTGACAGCAATTGCATTGTTATGTGTTTAGTGTGAAGCAAGAACAGCATGAGGTGCTTGTTTGGAACTTAAAAGCATGTTTTTAATACCAGGAAAGAAATGCTAGAGATAGCATTGAAATGTTGATATTCCACTCTGATCAGTGCCTTGATTTTCCTCCTTCTGAGATCCTTGTCTGTAAACCTAGGTATTTTATCACTGTTTTTTCCAGAAATGTGTGGAAGGGTGATGAGGACTGGTAGCAATCGCAAATGTTGTATACCTCCAAATTGTAAGCTTGAACAATCTGAAAGACAAACTACTATGTCTCCAGGTTTGCTTTCAAGTGGAGCATGCCTCTCCGGGTGGTGGGCTGGGTGTGATGGGGACTTCAGGGCAGGCTGCGGGCGTCTGATGGGTGCTAGCAGCACATCTGGCTAGTGACGAAGGACACGCATTGGGGCTGAGAGGTACTGCGCATCGGAAAACGCTCGTGGGGCTGGAAACCGGTAGTTTTTCCTTTCCGACTCTTATCAGTTGATCTGGTAAGAGATGCACTCTCCCTGCGGAGCCATCAAAGGGACGGTGTGTTTCCAGTGAGTAATTTCACGGCTTTACAGTGGTAAAGGAAGCCCTGGCCTGTAAGAGTCACCGCAGTGTCACTGCTGGCAGTGAGAACAGCCCCGAGCCTGGCTGGTGGGCACAAAACCACAGTTAGGGGATTTTTCCTTCTGCTCACAGCTCTTTTGTGAGCTTCTTGGTGACCTTGGTGGATCACTTGGTCTCTCTGTGATCTCTGCAGCTTCCACCATGTCCCCAGGGCCGTTCCGAGTCCAGCTGCATGACTGCCACGGCATCTACCTGTCACTTGCAATGTGTTGTACCTGTGTTCAGGGGCCTTCAGATGGAAGTTTGCAAAGGTTATTTTTTGTTCTAGTGAAGCCTATTCCCTGCCCTTCCTGAGGGCAGCCGTTTCACAGTGAAATGTTGTTGTATAAATCAGACAAGGACCTTCTGCTACTCCAGCAGTGGAGTCCAAGCAAGTCCCAAGTCCTCAGGGCTGGTGGCAAACTCCTTGCCCAGGGAAGGGAGGTTGCTGTGAGAGAGGGAAGGGGTCGGGATAAGACATTTGCAAAGGTGTCTGAAAGCTGAATGGAGGAATATAAATTTGTAAGAGAGGGAGGAAAAAATCATCAGCTCCTTGGGCTTTGGCATTTGCCTAACTAAGCAGACAGCAACGTTGCAGTACCAGGTCCTTTCCTTGGAGGGGAGACAGAGAATTAAAGTTCCTAAAGCAGGAGTGGAGGGAGAAAAAAAGAAAAAGGAAAAAAGTCAATAAACCCCCAGTTCAACCTGGGATGGCTGCCCCTGGGGAACATGGTGTCCCTGGAGGTTTGTTATTTTGTGCCTCTGGTGCGTTCCCAGTAAAACTGCCACTTCTTTCAATGTCGGGATTGCTTCTACCCTGGAGGCAGCGTGCACAGTGAGTCCAGAAAGTCCTTTGTGTTGTCCCCGTGTCCTCAGGGGATCACTGCAGAGTGACGGGAGTCTGGGGACAAGTGCTGTGAGCTGAGCCGGCCGTTCCCCTGGGCTCGGGGAAGTGGTGCTGCTGTGGGAAGGACGCTCTGGGAGAGCCCAGCTCCATCCCTTCTGCTCTTCTGCGCCCACCATGGTGCAAGAGAAAAGGAGTTGGGGGTGCATTAGAAAAGCAGAACCCACTTGGACGTACATCACCACCCTGGCTGGGAGCAAGTGGGGTCCTGCAGCATGGGAAGGCCTGGCAGGAAACACCGGTGCCAAAAGGAAAACAAGTTGGTATTTCTTTGTTTTCCTGCTGCTCATTTGTTTGTGAGACAGTTACCCTGCGCTGGGGGCCAGGTTAGCTGTGCTGGGGCACCACCAAACACCGCTGCCATGGCTGTCCTCCTGGGTCCCTGCTTGTTTGCTGGCACCGCGGAGGCTCCACAGCCAAAAGTTCAGCCTCAGCCTGTGCTAGGGGTGGAGGAGAGCCAGAGAGGCGTGAGCTCACACACGCCCCGCGGCCAGTGGGAGAAATATGTATGGAAGCAAATCACCAACCGAACAGGTCTCTGCAGGCTGGCTGGGCTCAGCTTCCGTGTCCACCTGGGGGGGTTTGGGCTGGGTGTGATGAGAGCCCAGCCCCTTCCCCAACGGGAACAGAATAGGCCAGCTGTGCTGTGATGCATGTCCCCACTCTGGGCACCCAAGGGGCCTGATGACCCCAAACCATGGACCAGCTCTGTCCTGCTGTCCCCTTGGAGCTGGTGCTTGGCCACGGCACTCTTTAACCCATGGCCATTCACCCCACGGGGGACGGTCACAGACCGGAGTCACCCCAGGGAGCTTCCACAGGGTCAGTCCTAGAGCCGATATGGGTGGCAGTGGTGCCGGCATGGCCCCAAGCCCTCTGCTTGGATGCCATCATGAAAGGGGGTGTCCCCGCAGCCCTGGGCATCACTGCCCCAGAGCTGGTGCTTTCTGGGTCAGTGGCCCCTGCTCACACCCCTCCTGGCCCTCGGCTGCTGGCTGGCCCCGGCTCAGCCGGCGCAGACTTTGCACCTTCACCGCGGGTTTTATTGACTCTGAAACGAGCATCAATGCGGTGATAGCGGCAGGACCATGACCTCGGACGTGCCAGCGCCTTGCTGGCCGAAGGAGGGGAACCAGCCCTGGAGTGACCCCATGCACAATACCAGGGGCTGGGGCCTGGCTGTGGGGGTCAGGGCAAGCTGTGTTCCTGGCTTCAGCTGGGCTGGGCTTGGCAGAGTCATGCCCCAGCTTCACAAATAAAGGAGAGAGGAGAGCACCGGTCCCTCTGTGCCCGCAGGAGCTGGGGTCTGGGTTGCGAAACCTCTCCTGCTGGGACCGCTGAGGATGTTTCCGCAGCTGCTTGTGCAACTCCCCAGTGGCGGCAGCGCGAGCGTTACGAGAAAGGCCTCTCCGAAAACGTCCGAACCATCTGGTTTGCGGTTAAATCAGGAGTGTTTGCTCGCTCTGGCTGTAAGCTGTCCAGGCAGAGCAGCCCCTC